TGTAGTCATGTTAACAATCTATAAAATGATTGAAACCTTCTTTGTGTGTGGTTTCCAATTGAATACTTGTTTGACATACCATTAGTGGATCCTCTAACATTGACATTTGTTGTTATCATTGTTTAATCATTACATTAATCTTCTATATCAAAGTTCCCATCAACTTCTTCTTCTTCACTACTACTACTACTACTACTACTACTACTACTACTATTGTTGTTGTTGTTATTTATAATTTATACAATTAACCTCCTTATGGTTCGACCCTGGTTTTACCTGGTTATTTATTATTTCGATATTCCTGTATTTGAAAAAAGATATACAATTAACCTCCCTATGATTCGACTCTGGTTTTACCTGGTTATTTATTATTTTGATATTCTTGTATTTGAGAAAAGATATCAATCTTTTAATCGTATTAATATGATATATTTTTTTTTATGTAAAATATATGGTGCCATGACAGACTTGAAAAATGCATGGCATTCTGTATTCAATGCAATATACAAAATCAAAATAGCCCTTTGAGTTCTTGAAATTACATGAAAACATATGAATTTAACAACAACCAACAAACTTATATACTATTTGGGAAAACTTGACTACAAAAAGGAATTAGTTAAATGGAAGACCATGGAGATTGGAAGTATTACTTTTGGACCACTTGACCGAATTTATAGAACATAAGTAGCTCCTCTGGTGACAGTTTGAACAGTAAAGGGGTCCACATAGGAACATCAAGGTTGTTCATCAACAATGATAGGAGATTGCCAGTAACCATCATGCACAGCAGATACCGATCCATATGAGATAAACAATCTTAAAATCCAAAGAGGAGCATGAAGAGGAACTTCGACAATGAATCAATTACTCACAGCAGTTAAAGAAAGGCAACTAAGTCGAGAAGGCTTAAAAGAAGTGAAGGCATCAAGGACCTTCCTAAAACTGCTTTTTTTACAACAGTGGGTTAATTGATGTCACTTAAACTAGCGAGGGAGTGCAGTTTACCACTACTGATGAAGAGTCTTATGTGTTGAAACAATGTTTTAATATTGCTCACTGGCTTGGAACATATGTGGGACAAGATCCTTGTGATAGGTAGGGGAACAGAAACAAATAAGATGGAGAACTTGTTATTGATGAATTAGAATGGTTTTGCAGAAGGAAGATCGTAAGATCTCGAGACTGTGTTCCTTCTCATATGTTGCATTTGAATGGAGTTGAGTTCAAGAATTTTCAATTATCTTTCTCTGCGGAAGCAACTGTTTGATAATATTTTGGCCACCTTGGAGGACTACAATTGGGCTTTTGGGAGAAATCCCATCAGCAGATATGCAGCAGGATTGGAAAGCCCTGGTGATTTGACTTTTTTGTTAAAAAAATTTATTCTTTCCTTTTAAACAAAATAAAATACTACTACGGAGGACTACTAAAGAGTATATATCCTACAAGTACAGTCATGAAAACGAGCTTCTTGAAAAAAATTAGATGCATCAGCCCCATACTATTAATTGAGAAAGTGATCAAATAGACATGAGGAATAATTACTTTGTATGTCTGTATCCAAATTTAAACATCGGGTGCTCCCTCTTTTGTACCTCTAAAATAAGCAACCAAAAGGTGATCTTTATCAAACTGCACAAAGCACAGATCAGCAAAACGTTACACTGCAGATGATGAAGGCAAACTGTAAGAATTCGAAGAGAATTAGATAACCCAATTAGACATTTGCAACAACGGTAGTGGCATGGCAGCTATTGAAGGGAACAGAGTTTGCAGGAAATGTGAACTCCTCTTTCACTGGCTTCCAATTATGACAATCTTTGCTCATATTTGCTATCTTGGGCACCAGAGCCGTATTATTTCTGTGTATTCCAGCCACCTTCCTGAAGAGGACTTGGAACATTTATAGGTCTTAATAATAATAATAATAATAAACTACACAGAAGTGCAGAAACAAATGCATAGAGGATAGGTCTTAATAATAATAATAATAATAAATTACACAGAAGTGCAGAAACAAATAGCATTACCATTAACAAATGATCAAAATAAAGATAACAGCAACAAAAATAATAAAACGAAAGAAGTGGCCTCTTTCTCTGATTTCTTTTTTCTGAGGAGCACACCTCTGTCATTTTGTTTGTAATATACTTTTTTTGGCCGTGATATAAACATTCAATAAGGGTCCCTCAAAGATTCAGGGAAGTTATAACCACATTCATACCCAAATATAGTGTTTTGGGAAATAAAAAGTAGAAACCAAGAACCTCTACAGAAAAAAATGTCCATAGAGTCAACAAGTAGAATAAAGGATAATCTTGCAAGCGGATCATTCCCAGTATGAAGCTCCGTCCGATCTTCTAATTTGGCAAGAAAATCCGCACAAAAATTGCCTTCTCTTAGAGTATGATGAAGCTGAGCTTCCCATTCTCTTAAGGGGAGAGAACGAATATCCATAATAATGGAACCATAATGATGAAAATCAACGCCACAATTTTTAATCAGCTGCAGAGAATCCATAGAGTTTGAGCTACAAAAAACTTGTCTATAACCCTGGTTCCAAGCAATTAAGAGGGCCATGCTTCAAGGTGAGGAGCTTTAAAAGCAAATTAGGACCATAAGCTGCGAACCTGGAAAATCCAAGCAGCTAATTACCCTCCCAGTCTCTAAATACTATAGATCCAGGATTACCAATAGAGATTCCACCCACATCCAATTTAATGAATCCCTGGATTGGACGCTGCCAAGAGATCATGGTCGCATTTGAACGAGCAGCATCCCTACCATTCCAACTCACACGATAATCAGCTGCAAAATGTAAAATCTGCCTCAACAACCACTGGGCCTCCTTGTACACATCTCCATAGGCAACTATGTTTTTTGTCACCAAAACCACCGTATCATCACAAGAAAAAGGAATCTGAGTGTCATCAGCTAATTTTAGTTAACCACTATTTTGCATAAGCTAACCAAAAGCCAACCCTCGAGTTAAACCTGAGACTCTGCCAAATAGACATTGCAATCTCTCAAACACTCAAACAATGAAGGGCATCTTCCATCTTCCACCTCGTGATTGCATCTGCAACATTTAGAGTTAGGAGTTGTTGTAATATCATGGTCGCACAAATTAATTATTCTAACTTAAAACACAACACACAAGATAATATAGAGTAAGTAAAGGGTCGATCTCACAAGGAAAGTTCAAGTCAGATTTTTATACTAGATGATATGCAACTTGGAGGGATTTAGACGTTATCAAGGCTTAAGTAAAAGAAATTAGAAAACTATCAAGCGAAATCAAACAAAATAAAAAAATTATCAAGAAAACAAACCTTAATCGTAAGAACACATCCACCAACAGAAATCAGAACTGATCATAGAAACAAAATATCAATTCATATTCTGAATATTTATCTCTTTTTAATATTGGTTAATTAACAGATCCGCCATATAACTAATCCTAACCATCAAACAACCACAGTGTCTGCACTAATAATTTAATTCAACAGTAGCCTTAAGAACTAGATAAGTTGATTAATCAAGAAAACATAACTGTCCGCAATTTATATTTTATTTAATTAAATGTTCTCCTTACGATTAATAACGTAGATCCGCCACAATTATTAAACTCAGTTACTTCACAAGTTCATATACCACAACTTCGGTTTTGATATCAAACTTAACATTTACAATAATAACTCAGAGTCTGCTCTAGCAATTAAAATAAACAATTATAGAAAAAATAAGCATAGGAGAACTAACATATTCATCATATAAACTGAAAAGAAAAAGTAAAATAAATCTTACAGTTCTTGAAATCCAAAAGTTTTTGTGTCCTTGCAACCAAGAAAAAGTGTTTAGTCTTGCATGTTTGTTAAACAACTAATCAAAAAGAAAGAAGAATACATAATTTCAAGTTTCTAAGAAGAGGACATTTTTCTCCTCTTGGCTTGCTGCCCCCCTTCTCTTCTCTCATTCTTTTTATATCCTAGAAAACCCTAGTTTTTATTTTACAAAATAGTCCTCCCTTAAATAGACAGTTTACATTTAAGTACTTCAATAACTATTTCTCTAAAGAAAGAGAAATAGCCTTGCATGAAATCTTTAAACTTTGACTTGAGGAGCTAAATTGCTTAAATAAAAACTTGGATAGTGGTTTAGATGCTTTGGAACATAATTTGGACTCGTTTCTTCACGAAACTTGTTTGCCGGCAGAATTTAGTTGTCATCTTTGAAAAATCACATCTCCCTTATATGACATTGTTTTTAACTGAAATTTGATGCGTTTATAAGCATTTTGAGTCAGGAATCCAGAAAAATTGAGTTTGCATCAATTGAACTTTTGTAGCTTCAAATATTCAAATCGTAATGGCCAAAGGCCAACATTGGCAGATTGCAAGATTTGACTTTGAAGGCTGCGATTTCCATGCCCTTCCTTATTTTATTTTCTAACCTTAGATCTTCAGAAAGGTATGAATGTTAGCTTTTTAATGCCACTAGAATCACCTCATTTCGACCTCTAAAGCTCGTGCTCTGCACAAAACATCGACTGAAGGTCAAATCTACCAATTACCTCTAATTTACTCTTTTTTGTATCTTTCATCCAACAATGCCTTCAAAACATAAAACAAAGAATATCAAGACATTTTGTATATAAAACATGGACAAAACACTAATTAAATATGGATAAAATTATCGAATAATATGGTTGTATCAGGAGCACTATGGCGATTAAAATAAACCAGATTTATAGGAAGGCTGTCATGGAAAATCAGCCAAATGAAGATTTTACACTTATCTGGAGCATTTAACTTCTATAGCCAGCTCCAATTCAAGTCACTTTAGACACATCTATCTTTATTCAGAAGCCACAAATAGGTGGATTTCATACAATAAACCACTGTCATAGTAGATATCCAAATCACTTTGTCTACTCCACTAGGTAATAAAGGAATGGGGCTAGCCATGATGCAGTATCTAACAGCCTCTAGAATGTACATTGCCATCTTGCTAAAGTCCCAAGCCTCGTTAGTCCATAAATCCTTCACTTTATAGCCCGCATCTAACACATTCACATACTCAACAAGATTGCTCAAATGTCCTTCTTCTAACCATAGATCAAACCAAACCAAAATATCCCCTCCACCTAGCTTATAAATGAAGTCTTCTCGCAATTGAGTAAAAGATTTAACAAAAGACTGCACATGATAGAAGAATTAAGAGAATTGTAGCTGTAAACACATTGTTATTACAAAGGTACTTATGGGCATAAGCCTTCACCCACATCTCATTGTTAGCATTGAAAAGATTCCAAGCTTGCTTACCTAAAAGAGCAACATTTAAAGCTTTAGTATTCCAAATTCCAAGACCTCCAATTCTCCTTGGGCACAAAATCAATTCCCAATTAACTAGATGAAGACCACCCTCTCCGGTGGACATTCCCTAAATAAAATTCCTGATCAATTTATTGATACCATTACAAATCGATTGAGGGAGCCAAAAAATTTGCATGGCATAAGTGGGGATTGAAAAAATAACTGCTCGAGCAAGCGTGGCCCTCCCCACCTTATTAAGCGACCTTTGTTTCCAATCTGTTAGCCTGGATTGAATTCTATCAATAATAAAGTTGAAAACTGAACGTTTAACTCTGCACTTTTAAGTACTAATCACCCATCTTATTAAACAACCTTTGTTTCCAATCTGTCAGCCTGGATTGAATTCTATCAATAATCCCCTGAATAAGAGGGAACCCAAGATATTTGCCAAGAATGCTAGCAAATTTAATAAGAGAGAGTTAAGATATGTCATGTTTAATTCTCCACCACACATTTCTTGAACACATCACCCTAGATTTATCAATATTAACTTTTATCCCAGAAACATTACAAAAGTCCGTCAGCACATTGGTCATGATATGCATCTGGGCAACACTGACTTTACCAAATAACAAGACATCACCAACAAAGAATAAGTGAGATATACTTGTCCCTCGTCTCAGAAGGTGGATATGATGCCAAATCTTCTCTGAAAATTTCTTCGTAATTAAACACGCCAATTTCTCCAAACAAATAAGGAGAAATTGGGTCTCCTTGCCCTAGGCCACGAGTAGGAGTAAAGGAGTGAAGCTTAGACTCATTCCATAAGAGAGTGAGGGAGGAAGACCTTACACAAAACATAATTAGAGATACTATTCCAGGAGGAAAGCTGAAATCCTCTATAGTGGACTGCAAGAAAACCCAATTCACCCTATCATGGACTTTTTCTAATTCAATCTTTGTAGCCAGAGCACACCACTTGCTTTTGGAGTGATGCATGTAGTGCATTACTTCTTGAGCAACTAAGGTATCAGTACTGGTTGGACCAGGGATAAAGCTGCTCCAGAGGGGGCCAATTAAATCATCTAAATAAGGTCGCAGCCTGTTCATTAACATCTTAGTAATGAGTTTATAAACTACATTACAAAGTCTAAGAGGTGAGTTTATAAACTACATTACAAAGTCTAAAAGGGTGAAACTACTTCCTTGGGACATAACACAATCAGAGTATCAGTCAGATCTTTATCAAAACATCCATTAATAAAAGTAGCTTGAACTAGATGCCAAATGTCATCCCCTACCACATTCCAGTATTTTTTGAAGAAAAAATCTTGGAAGCCATTATTCCCCAAAGATTTAAAAGATCCCATACTCATTTGAACTACATAAACATCCTCTTTAGAAACTGGTTTCTCTTAATTAGAGATTCCTTGTGGAGATAATGTAGGCAAAGGAACAGACTCCATAAAGTGAGCAGTAACAATTACCTCTGTGCAGAATAGATTCTTATAAAACTGGTCCTGCAGTTTAGAATCATCAGTGCACCAAGTCCCATCAGAGAGAAAAGGCCTATTAATCCTGTTCTGTCTTCTCCGCATAGTTGTCTAAGCTTGAAAGAACTTTATATTCTTGTCACCATGAGTAACCCACTGTTCTCTAGATTTTTGGAACCAAAGAATTTCCTCCTACTGAAGAACAACATTATAATCATGACGTAAAGATTTTTCTAGAGAAAGAAGTGAATCATCAGTATAGTGCTTAAGACACCTATGGACACCATTAATCCGAGCTTCAAACCATCTTTTCCTGTGGAAAATATTCCCAAAAGTGTGTTGATTGAAAGAAATAGAATCTCGCTGAACCTCCTGAAGCCCCTGCAGGACATTGTAGCAGCCTCTATCCCAAGCACTACAAACAATATCCTGATAATTTTGAATGGGAAGCCCAGGCTGCCTTAAATCTAAAAGGTCTTTCACAAGCCAGCCCAGGTGGTTTCCCACAATGAAGAGTAATCGGGTTGTGATCAGAGTGAATTCTTCAAAGAGTTTCAACATAAGCTTCGGGAAAACTAGTTTACAAATCCGAAGAAGCCAGCGCTCTGCCGAGCTGTTCGGCTAAGTAATGAACCCCATGAACATGTTTGTGCCAAGTAAAATTAGGGCCCTCGTGGCCCAAATCTAAAACCTCACAATCTGACATCATCTGCAAGAAACATGAAGCCCTAGCCCATGAGAAGAGACCTCCTTGAGTTTCAGAAGGAGAAGATATTTTATTGAAGTCACCAATGAGGGCCCAACGGCCTTGCACTATCAACTTTATTGTATTCACATAATCCCAAAGCTAAAGTTGAACTCCAGGAATGGGCGAGGCATAGACTGCCGATAAGAACCATGAGCTGCTTCCCACAGAAATCTGAATTCTAACACATTGCCCAATGATATCCAAGGTTGAAAGGGAGACAAAGCTAATAGAAGATAGAATCCATATGCCACCGGCATGGCCTTGGGCTTCAGGAACAGCCACTAGAGTATAAGCAATACTATACTATACCAAAAAATTTTAATCTTAAAAAAATTGACATGCATTTCCAACAAGACAAACAAAGAATGATGATACCACCTTACCAATTCTTTCCAGTGGCGTTTGCTTATCTTATTAGTGTCACCACGAACATCCTATGAGATTATAGAAAAATCTGTAAACATATTCATAATAAAAAAGATAGATAATAAATAGCGAAAGTATAGCAGAACAGTTACTGCCCACCATCCATCTGAATGGCCATCCCCTCATTAAACCCCTGTTCACTTTAACAATTAATGGACATAGTCATGCCCTCAACCCTCGGCACATTTCCTTCTGAAGTTTGGGTAACAGGAGAAAGCTCAATACTAGGAACAAGAGGAGTATCATTCAAAACAAAGGCTGAAGTATGAGCATTGACAACTGTGGAAGTTGAAATAAAACCTGGATTCAAAATTCCCTTTGGCGTGCTGCATTATTTACTTGCCTTTGATGCTCCCCGTCATACCCTCATCAAACCCTCCAGCAGAAAAAACAATCGGTTTACTTATGTCTCGTCGTGACCCCTCCTTGGAAACATGGTTCCGGGCTCCCAAAAGCACTCCCTTATTAATTCTTCTTGTAGAAATATCATTAACAGGCTTGGGGTGGATTAAAGTGGGTTCATCTCGCCTAATTCTCCTTTTCTGCTGGGTCCATACATGTCTAGTAGGATTTGAGCCCTTACCCTCCCCAGCATGAAACTTCAGTCCATCTACTTCCAAGCTTTTAGGATAAACGTCAGCTGCTCGATTAAGAGCAGTAAATCTGTTATGTATGTTTCTATAACCAGTCCCCTTATTCTTAGCTCTGTGATCAATTTGCGATTTCTTTTTCCTTCTAACTATCAACCAGTCACCATGTGTTACAGGAACAATTACGTCTTTCATGGGATTAGATTCTGCCATGGCTTCTGTTACCTTGCGCAATTCCTCCGCCACCACCTACACCCGAGCAGTAGCATTCGACTCAAACATGGTATCTCTGATCTCCTTGACTAGCTTGCAATCCAGGCCATGGTGGCCATAACATCCACACTTCCCACAAATTATGTGAAGTCCTTCGTACTTAACATTATACCAGTGATCTTTAATCCAAATTCTACCCATCACTGGTTTATCAAGCTCAATCTCAACACAAACTCTTGCAAATCTGCCTCTCTCTACATTGCGGGTATGCATATCTACCTTAATGGGCTTACCAATGGCTGACGCCATAGTCATCAACAGATTCTTATCATAAAATACTAGGTTTAGACTAAGGATACGAATCCAAACCACAGTACGATTTAATTTTGCAGATGATGATACAAAATCCGCCGACCAATAACTAACAACGAAGTAATAATCAAACACCATCCAAGGTCCTTCATTGATAACTTTCTCTTTATCCTCTTCAAGATCAAACTTTACCATAAAGAAGCCATTGACAATGTCCACCAGTTCAAAATCACCCGTGTACTTCCATAAATTTTTTAATCTCGTGTTCAACCGATAAAAACCAATCTCTTTGTTAAAAAGCTTGATGACAAGTGAATCTTGCCATGAAAGGCACGGATCATTGAAAAGACCATCTTCTACGAATACCTTAGGCAAAAGCCTATTGTCCTTCTCAAACTCAATCCACACCAAATTCCTCTTGGGAAGATCTGCACAATTACATGCGGGGGAGGGGGGTGGTTCTAAGAGATTCTTCCATTGTAGTCCTTTAATGGCTGCCCGACATCTCTCCACATATATGGGGGCTTCTCAGGTATGGAATCCATCATGGTCCCCCACACTCATACTAGGTCAAAATTTATACCCATATATAGTGTGCATGACAGTAATAGAGTTCGATTTGTTTCCATTACTATGATTGTTCTAAATAAGGGAAACACATAATAAAAACTTGCAGCTAATAGAGGATATTTGAGAAGCAGATACTAACCACACTTAGGAGCAGGACTCTAGGGGCATACATGATCAAAATAAGCACTAAACTAGCATCAACATAAATCACTTTAACAAATCAAAGATAGAGAAGGAAAACGAAAAATGGACAACCTGCTAGGACACTTGTGTAAGTCATGCAGTAATTGCCGGTAGGTGTGCGATCTGATAGCCTGGGAACTCAAGAACTCATGGTTGACTTTGAACAGGCCAAGAAAATCAGAGGAATTGGAGACACAAAACAACAAGATCAACAGAGAAAACAAGAAGAGAAGCAAGACAATGCTCCTAAATGGTCCACATGTTTATGAACTCTGTTTTTAGAACTAGGTTTCCTCAAAGCAATTCAATTTCATTTGTAAATAAAAGTATTGAAATAATAAGCACACATTCATATATAAAGAAGAGCACTCAATATGCATAAAATAAAAGCAGAACAGAAAAAAATGGAGAAGCAGCCATACCTAATACAGTGATGCCATGAAAAGAAAAGGGTATAATAACTTTGAGCGGAGAGAGGGAGGATCGGAAGAAAGTGATGCAAGGAAAGGGGCACTGGTCGAATATTGTATTGAAAGCATAGGCCCCTCAAAGATCAAAACTTTATATATTGCCCCCTCAAAAAACTTAATTTAGCCCCTTCAAGGACTGAAACTTTCCTTACTTTTCCCCTGAAAAACACATTTTTAACCATTTTCTTTCTCCACATCAAAATCACTCCCAATCCTCCTCACTCCACTCTCTCTCTCTCTCTCTCTCTGCTACATCCTGAAAAAGAAACCCCAGGGGAATGGCACAAATCAATCCAGCCATTTCCCAAATTACCCCAACAAGCACACTTACCTATTTCCTCCTACTCCTCCTCACCACTACCACCACCCCAATTTTAGCCATAACCAACCTAACAGCCCTCCTCTCCTCCTTCCCTGACTTCTCCTCCTTCACTTCTCTCCTCGCTTCCACACCCTCTATAACCTCAGACCTCTCCAACCGCTCTGCTCTCACTCTCTTAGTCATCCCAAATTCTCCCCTATCCTCCTCTTAAGCCCTCACGCGCCGCCTCTCTCCTTCTTCCCTCACCGACCTCCTTCGTTACCACATCCTCCTCCAATACCTCTCTTCCTCCGACCTCCACCAGCTCCCCCCAGCTGGGGCCCTCATCACCACCCTCTTCCAAACAACCGGCCGTGCCTCCTCTAACTTTGGCTGTGTTTACATAACTCGAAACCCAGTAACAAACGCAGTCACTATTTCCTCTCCATCACCTTTTTCCTCCTCAAACGCCACGGTTTTGTCCCTGATAAAGACTCTTCCTTACAATGTTTCAATAATTTCAGTGAATTCTCTTTTAGTCCCATATGGGTTTGATTTGATGGCATCAGAAACAAGGCCCACATTGGGTTTGAATATTACTAAAGCATTACTTGATGGCCGCAGCTTTTTTGTCGCAGCATCTTTATTATCTGCTTCTGGTGTTGTACAGGAATTCGAAGCAGATGAAGGAGGAGCTGGAATAACTCTTTTTGTGCCTACTGATTCTGCATTTTCAGATCTGTCGGAAACTGATGTTAGTTTACAGTCATTGCCAGCTGATAAGAAAGCTGATGTCTTAAAATTCCATGTTTTACATTCTTATTACCCTCTGGGTTCATTGGAGTCTATTGTTAATCCTGTGCAGCCTACATTGGCTACTGAAGATATGGGTGCTGGCAGTTTTACTTTGAATATTTCGAGGGTTAATGGGTCGGTTGCTATTGATTCAGGGATTGTTCTGGCGTCTGTTACGCAGACGGTTTTTGATCAGAACCCTGTTGCAATTTTTGGGGTTTCAAAAGTGCTTTTGCCTAAAGAGATTTTTGGGAGGAATCCAGTGTTGACTAGGAAGCCAGGGAATTCTGATATGGGAAATGCACTGCCGCCTGTTGTTGCTTTGTCGCCAGAGAGTTCGCCGAAATTGTTGTCCTCTGCACCGGGTGTTAGAGAAGAGATTAAGTCTGGAGTTGGAGGGTTACAGCGGTTCAGTACTCTACCTTTGCTTTGTGCTCTTGTTGTATGTTATTGTATTTAGTGGTATATTGCACTTCATAATCAATGAATTCTTTTCCTCTTTTTTTTTTTTACTTTTTTTTTTTTGGAGGGGGGTGGGGGGTTTCACGGTTATTGACTTGAATTGGGCACCAAAAAGGTAGCTTGTCTTGTGCTTCTTCATCTTCTTTTCCTGTATGTGGCATTGTAGAGGTAGATGTAGAAGTGTGCATTGTGTAGTTCCTTGACTAATTTATATCATAAGAGCATCATTTTTTTGGCAGTTCTGCCCCCTTTTCTTGGCTTTTGTTATAAAAATTTGATAATAGTCTGAAGAAGGAAGTGGTTTTTGTTTTTTTTTTTCCTGGCAGCTTGTTATGACTCCAACAGTGTTGAACTTGTTAGTTAATTATGAGGTTTGCAGCTGAGTTCTCTTTTGCGTTTGATCGCTCCTTTATGTTTCACCTTTCTAAGCCATAACTATACTGATTTTTTATGTCCAAATCAATCTCCTCGATGAGTTCTGCCCTAAAGGCACCCCTGATAGCACATGCTCTATCCTAAAAATAACAAACAAAAGCATATGCTCTATCCTAAAAATAACAAACAAATTAGTCTGGCAGCAGGGGATGCTTGTACTGTTGCATTGTTGATCTCATTGGTACTTGTGTTGAAAGTGTATGATTGAGGAGAAGTTTGAGTTTGCAAAATTGGTGGTTGTTGGCTTGTTTAGTTTGGGAGTTCCAGCTGAAGGCTTTTTGGATACATCAAAGGCGTATGATTTTACTGGGAATAAGAGATTCCCTGCCATCAGTTTATAGAGCAATTAGAGCTCCAAGTTCCTGGGGAAACAACCTGGTTCTGGCTCTGCTACTGTGGGGGTATCAACGCCAGAGAGGATTGCGAAGTCCAAAATGGATTTAAGAATTTCGTTGCAACCAGCTCATTGTGGGGACAAGGCTTTATTCTCTCTCTGTTGGGATCCAGTCGAGGGAGAGGGCTCTCTTGCCGACAAGGCATTTCCATCCTATCCCAGAAGCTCATCCCGGCCCGGCGGGTTGACCCGGGACCCGTCCGACCCGGGGCTGGAACCAGGCCGGGTTGATGAAAAAATAAGGGGAGCCATGACTCGGCGTGGCCCGGCCGACCCGGCGGGTTGACCTGGAAACTCGGACGACCCAGCAAAACCCGGTCAAAAACCCGGTTGCAACCCTTTGATTTTTGTTTTTTTTTACTAAAACGACGTCGTTTTGAACTTTTTTAAAAATAGAAATTGACCCGGCTGACCCGGTCAAAACCCGAAACCCAGGCCTTGAACCGGGCCGGGTTTAAAAACTATGATTTCCATCCTATCCCAGAAGCTCATTGGTATCCTTAAGCAGTGGAGTGGGTTGGTGGTATTGAACAACAGGACTGGAATACATTCGACCATTTGGTGCCTTGTGATAATGCTTTCAAGATTTCCTCATGAACCTGTCCTACGAAGCAGGAGAGAGAGGAACAGACAGATCTTCGGAAGAAATGACTATAGGAAGAACGTTGCTGGAATAACTCACACTATGAGTGGGATTTAGTTTGGAAATGTTACAAGATTCTGTGTTTCTCCTGGCTGGTACAGATTAAAAGATTTTTAATAAATGAGCTTTTAGAGGAACCAGTTACTTGACACCTGTACATGACTAAAGGTGAAGAGGGAAACGTGCTTAGAGACTACTCCCTGGCCAAATGTTTAGCGAAGTGTTTAAGACGAGTAGGACAATGTCACATTTTTTTTATGTTTATTTGTTTGATGGACAGTTTTTTTTTTTTTTGAGAAGTGAATGTTAAAAAAGTAAATTTAAAATAAATAAATTATTTTTTAATAAATATAATAAAAAATAAGTTGAAAAATATTTTTCAATATTTAGTTATATCATGAAAAATAAGTTGTAAAATAACTTATTAATATTTTATTTTTTAAAATTTATGAAATAATGAGAAATAAATTTTATAAATTAAAAAGTCGAATGAGAATGAAATTGAAAAAAATATATATAATTTCATAAATTATCTCAAATTAAATAAATAATAATAAAAATAATAGAAATCAAATCTAAAAAATAAAAAAAAATTGAAAGATGAAGAAATTAAAATAATAATAATTAATATTTTATAAATTATTTCAAATAAAATAATAAATAATCAAAAAAATAAGGATCAAATTTGATATATAAAAAATTTCAATTAAAAAATGATAAGGAAAAAACAAATAACAATTATACAAATAAAGACTAAAGTTAATATAAAAATTAAATTCTAAATGATAAAATTGAAAGACAAATATTCAAAATAATTTATATATATATAGCAATCAAAAGTTTGATGATCAAATTTGATATAATCAACAAATAATATAATATTTTTAAATTTTTCATAATTTCCGGAAAGTATTTTCAACCAAAAATAAAAGGAAAACACTTTCTTGAAACCAAGCCAGATTTTTCTTTGATTAAAAAGTGTTTTTCATTGACCAGAAAGTGCAATTTGTTGACCAAATTTTTTAATGGCAAACAAGCACAGAAAAGTTTGAAAAATAATTTCCCGAAAACCACTTTTCAAAAAACAAACGCAACTTGAGAAGGATCATTGTAAATGGTTCTTTCTAAGCTTAGAGAAGTATGTGACGAGGCCTTATCATGGATCAGGTTCTCATCCTTACAATCATAAGTTGGCAAGATTGGAGATTGTTGAATGATTATGTTCTTAACAATATTGTGGTATATAATAAGCAAGTTGTCTCGGTGTTTCACAGGTTTGTTGAAGAAGTGATACGGATTAATCGTTCACATAGTCAAGTAATTCTTAACGAAATAAATAACAACCTAAAAAGATAAAAATATGATTTGATAGAATCTTGATATAGAGATAACCATGTACTTAAGAACCAAACATATTGAAAAAAGATATGAATCTAGAGATAACTTTATATCTAAAAACTCTAAGCATGCGAATGATACCACAAAGCCAGTTAATCTTCGATAAGTTAGTATAAAATATTTTTCTCTGCAAAGAAAAGTTGTTTTACCAGGAACAAACAAAAGAAAAACTCATATTTATTTTTCAACTTGTTGCCAAAATTTATAGCTAAAAAATATATATATATAGTCTCCTCTAACTAACCCTAACGAACCTTTTAAGTTGCAAGTTAATGGGTCTAAACTAGTAATCAACTAACATAAGTCCAATAATGAAATAAATCTCTAAACAATGTCTAATAAACCAAAACAAACTCAAATTAAAAATAATTATTCAAAAATAAATAAATAAATAATATAGTATAATAAAAACAACGTTTTCATGCTAAAATTCCTCCATATAGCTCAAATCTTTAATTTTCTATATTCTTGGCATATTTTCAGTCTTGACTTCAAAACATCATTCTCTCTCGTCTAAATGAATTACCAGACCTGTTATATATGGTTGAAAAGCTTGATTTATCTAATTTCTAGACCAATTTTAATTGCAGAATAATTCCACATGTAACTC